ATATATAGATATATTTAAAAAAATTCAATGATCAATAAATTGGAAAACCATTAAACCTTCACATATGACTGAAGAGACTTTTGTTTCATTTGCTGGTAGCAATCTATCTTTTAGTCACATGCAAAATTAAAAGGTATTCAAATGTAATCAATACATGAAAATTGTTTACAAATGGAAACCAGAAATGTTGCCAGTAACAAAATAAACCAAAATATTTATGGCCCCCCAAAGATGTATGACTCACACATAATTTATCTTTCTAAGAATCTGTTCAGGCACCATTTATGCCTCATAGCAAAAATTTGTTTATAAAAAAATTAATATAAGAAGCATTACAACACTTTATAAATAATTTACAAAACATAATACAAAATTAGAAAACTGTAAAAAAAATCACTGCACATGAATGGTTTTAAGACTGTGGGATGAACACCATTTTTCCTTCCAAGCTGGCAATTTTTATTTATTTTACATTTTTCACTGTCCTAGTTATATCCTTCTGATAGGTACTTTGGAACAGAAGAGAGCTTATGTAACTGCTGCCAGCGTATTTTTAAACATTTAGTATCTTTCAGACGCTGTTTAGTTAACTTTTTTTCTTGGGGGATTTTTCTTCACCAGATTTAGAGCAGTCCCTGGGAGAATTGGAAATTTAAGTTTTTAGGCAAAGAATGGTTGATGGTTTTGTTCCCAGGCTGTTGATGATGGAGGTGGAGGGGAGGGTGTACGCTCTCAAGGGTGGCTGAACAGGTAATTGTCTGTGGCATTAATGACTAGACAATTAGCAGCGTACTGAAGACATGGGTAGGACCTCAGGACCATCCACTTCCAAATGTGATCTGTTCTTCCCTGCTTCCCTGTTGGCTTCTGGGTGGTCTCCCGATTGGTATGTAAATTGAATTGTGGCTGTTTGTTTAGGGCTGTTTGGTACAGATAACATAGTTGTATTTGTGGATATAGGTATCTATGGAGATATCTAGAGAGGGAAAAAGAAAACCCAGAGGGGCAGATGTTGCTGTAAGACTCTCTTGACTTCACATACTCAGCTTGGGTAAAGCATCTTTTTTGTCCCTCACAATTTGCCTGTGGTTACTGAGGTGTTTCTGCCCCCAGCAGATATTTATATATCAACAGTCGGAAAAGAGTCAATAACAATTCTCACTCTCCTCCTCATAAAAGCAATACAGAAAATATCCCTAAACAGACCCTGCTGAAGCTTAAAGCCTAAAATGCATTTGCTGGACATGAGCCCAGCGCGGAGTACTGGATCCTCAGCGCTCTCCAACCCTGACCTTTGAGAGTGCTCACATTTAGAGGCAGTTTCTGGCACAGATAATGGTCTTTGAAGTCTTAAAACTCCACCAACCATGCAGCAAATACCCCATTCAACAAGGCAAATCCCATTAAAGAAACAGTGAAGGCCAGATTCAAAGCCTAGTGAAATCAATGGAAATCCCTTTCTTTCACTAAATTTTGGATATAGCCTTGAGTTCTTGAAAAGTCTCTAAGAGAGGTGCTATTTGAAGACTCCAGCACTTCAGGAACCTCTTTCAACATCCTGGGTAGACCAGCAAAAATCCAGCACAACCATCCTGAGGTCAGTGAATGCAATCAGGAGTTATACGAGTAGAATTTTACTCTACCACCTGTACAGTGAGCTGAACCAAATCCCCAGCGTTATCTTTTGGAAAGTCCTGATCAAGATGCAGTTTCTACCCTAATAGTGGGCTGAACCCCAAACCCAGCAGAAGATGAAAATCACAGGTGACCTTCCTGGGTCAGCCCATACCCCATAGAGAACCTGAAACATCTCTCCCTCTTGAGCCTTGGCATACTCGTAGGTCCAATGACTACAGTACTTTAAGAGATTCTTGTCCAATTTAAAAAGAAGCCACGGAGATAAGGTGTCTTTAAAAGAAAATCAATTCACCTGAAACATATTGCAGGTGACCCACCTTACTATTCCCAAAGGATATTCAATAGGTTTCCCTATATCCTGATTGCTTCGTCTAGCCAGCAGTCACAGCAAACACCTGCAGAAGCACATCCTCCTACTGAAGAGGTCAACAGGGAAAGCATCAATATCGGGGTGACATCAAAAAAAAAAGGCAGAAGGAACAAAGCACTACCACTGAAACAGTCTGTAGTGACATAATGACCAAAACATCCTCATCACTTCTCGGCCTGTCGGTTTGTTTTCATCAGAATCTCAAAAAATTTCTTTGGCTAGCGGACTTTGGAGAGAAATTGCTTCAAACAGAACCATAATATAGATGCAGCACTGAACCAAGTGTGCAGTTTGTGTTTATATTACAAAATGAGTTTCGGTGACCTCTCCAGGTTCATGGCCAAAGGACAGAGAAATCCCAAGCTACACGGTCGACAATAAGCACAATGTTCAGCGTGGGCTGACAGTTCATGAGACATAATCCTAATCCTTCTTTGTCCCCTATTGCATTTCAGCATATCAATATAAAAGTGTTCAGATGTCACTTTTCTTTTTAGAAATCCTCAAACAGTACTGGGTTATTATGTGGCTTTGGGGAAGGGGTGGAGAATGAGCTGGAAGGGGGGTGGCAGCAAAAAGAATCAGAAAAAAAAAAGAAAACCAGAAATGCAAACCAAGACATATACCCTTAGAAGAGAAATACCAGATCCTACAAAGCACAAGAAAAATAAATTGTTTTTTGGCACCCAAACGCTTGGAGATTGTAAATCTGTTGATGAAAACAAAAGGAAGGAAAAGAAAAGGAGGTGACGGCCATGGAATGGCTTTAACACCTGTTTGGACACACAAGGATGAGAGAAATTAATCCTATTGTTTTCCTCTTTGCAAAATACAAATGTAAAAATTTGTAACACAATTTTACACTCATAAAAGAGCAGACTAACAACAATCTAGTTTGCAATGCCATGTTTCTGACTTTGGTTAATAGTTTTCATAGTGAATCAGCACTTGATACCTGAAAGGTTACAGTCACTCCTCCAGGTGGCAGGCTTGTATTCTCTTTTAAACAGATAAAAGTTTTTTTTTTTTCTTTTTTTTCTTTTTTTTTTTGTTTTGTTTTTCCTTAAAATGTGTTCACATTTTCATAATATACAGAAAAAAAGTAAGCAGTTATTTGGTTTACTTTAAGTCCATTTAAAAAAACTGGCTTTTTCTTTTTCTTTTTCTATTTTTTTGGGAACTAATTCTACGACACACACACACACTAAGTGTCGTGTAGTTGTTTTGTTTTGTTTTTTAAATAGGAAAACCCACAGACATTTATAAACTGTTCTGTCCTTCTTGTAGTTTTCTCAGTCTTTTACTTACAAGGGTGATGAACAGGTATTTTCAGAGTTCGAATGGTTACGTTTCTGTTGGTGCAGGGGTTGGGTTTTTTTTTGTGTGTGGTTTGGTTTTGTTTTGTTTTTAGGAGTTTTCTTCCAGAGAGTCTGTTAAAGGCTCCATAGGAACTGCCGTTGCGGGCTCGTGTTGTTTCAAACGTTTAATTGTGTTCTTCAGCGCTTGCCTCTTATTGCAGAACCAAACTCTAACTACTTCCCGGTCATAGTTCAGTTTCTCTGCAATCTCTGTCATTTCTTGCCCAGAGGGGTGTGTGTTCTTCTCAAAGTGGGCATTCAAGATCTCAAGGGCTTGTGGCGTGAATGAGGTACGCCTCTTGCGCTTTTTGGATGGTTCGCTTCCGATAAACTCGGTAAGGTTCTGCATACCTGCTCGATGGCGGGCCTCAGCCTCAGCCATCCACCGCTCAAGCACCGGCTTTATCTTCTGGGCACTTTTAGGGGTGATGTCCAGCTTTTCAAACCTGGCAGGATACAAAAGGCCAGGGTTCAGTTTGGCTGTCAGACTGCTAGCTATAGTGTTCTCTTGGGCTTCCTGTGGTAGGAAAAAGTGGCTTCTCAGGATGGTGTGTCTGAGGGAAAATTGAGAAAGAAGAGTCTTACACTGATGCTCTGCCAGGGTGGGACTTCCTGCCTGCCTGACTAATTGACTGGCAGAGGTAATTTACAATGGATTACGAAAACTATCAGAAAGGTATATCTATAAATATATATCTATATATATATATAGAGCTAGATATTAAAGCTAACACAAAACGAGCACTACAACAAAATTCTAAGTACACTAAATAATACAGGTTATGAGTTGCGTTTTCATATTTCTGACGATCTTCAAAACCCTTAAGGCTAAGTCTAATTACAGGAAATGACATCAAAGGCAATTGCTCTTGATCATCTCTGCTTTGTGATTAATCCTTTTGTTTCCCCTCCCATCCCGTGTTGTCCAAACACCACGGGTTTAATAACACAAACCAACGGCAGTTACAAGCCTCTGAATATCAGGTTTCCTTTCCTTTCATTTTTTCAGTAATTTTCACTGTTTGCAAGTTAACGCTACATCCCTTTTCTGGGTCGGAAAAGGATTCCCATCGCTACGGTGGTGTTCAGCTGAAACAGCTGGACACTTTGCAATTATCTTGACTGCCCCCACAATGTGCAAAGACAGACTCATGTTTTCCAGATGAAACCCAGCATAATAGTCTACTAATATGCTGTGGCACCAAGCTGGGTTTATTGTGGGATTTCTGCAAACTGTACCAGAATGATATCATTTCCTGTAAATGAGGTCTTCTATATATCATTTTGCCATCAAAAGTCTTTTGCCAAACCAGATTTTACAAGTCTTATAAAACATCTGGAAAAGCAGCCACACAAAGCTTTAATCCTTTCAAAAAAAAAAAAACAAGCAGAAGAGCTGAGTTCACATTTCAAGTCTTATAAATACTTGTTTCTTTCATTTACCGAGCTCGTCCTCTCTTGCCACCCATTAAAAAATGTCTTAACCCAACTCCTCTGATGCCACCCATTTGTATTTCCCCATTTTGTGGTATTTAACATTGTGGAAAGGCAACAATTATTGCGTGGTGCTGAAGCACCGCCACCACTAATCACGACGTGCTCTGGAGATGAGAGCCACCGAATCAATGCCCTTGTGCAAAGCAACTGGGTGACTGGGGTTGACAATTTTTAGTGTCTCTATTCAGCATGTGGTGGCTGCAGAAAATATTCCAGCAAGAAACAGTATTTCTCACAAACAAGCTATACGACAAGTAATAATTTCAGTAAATAACACTCCAAAGAATGTTTAACTGGTGCCTGGGATGCTAGTGTAGTACTGACTGCGAGGTGTCCTTCCTTGGTGTCCAGTGATTTATCAGGCTGAAGTGTATGTTTTAGAACACGTTGTCTTGAGTTAAGAAAATGCCGTTATTAGCAGGCAGAACATATCAGCAAGGTGGTGTGATTGCTGATGTGATCTGCACGGGCCACCGGGAGACTCTACTTCTGTCTCCGAGTTGGTCATTCCACTTGCTTACCTTACTGCCCCTTCCCTGGAGTTCATGCTGAACCTCTTTTGTTACCATTAAAAGTTAAACCTACTTATTTCCGAGGGACAGCATACTGCCACTGAAGCAGTTTGTCTTGGTGCTTAACAAGAAACGCATGCTCATAGCAGGTTTTCACATTATATCCAAATTTATATCCATCTGGAGGGGTCAAAAGAAGTAAAAAAAGCCCAAAACTATAACCTTGCAAGTGTTTGTGACCAGCTTCTGCACACAGTCCTCATGTTCTAAGCAATTTGCTCCTCTAAGGAGTCCTCTGTAAAAGGTCTCCTAATTCTGAGGTTTTGTTAGTCATGTCTGTGCTCCAACTTCATATTTCTTTGGTGTGTTCATGATAATTTGTTAGTGGGGAATTCTTTCTCTTAGTAAAATTCAAACCATCCCCAGTGGTTTTCTCAGGTGAGAGGTTGATGGAGGAAATGAGAAGACAGCAAACTAGAACAAAAGCAAAGGAAACTGCAATTTATCACTTTAAAATCTAGTATTGTTAAACAACAACTGAAGGCTACAACAAATTGGAAAATTGATAAAAACTCCACCAGTTTTAGGCATTCTTTACCAATTGACCAGAGGGAAGAAAAAAAAAATAAATAAAATTAATCCTTAGCAACAGGGAGCAATCGCATTCATATCATTGGCACTGCTTGTTAGTGTTGATGCTGCAGTACATGTTGTTTGCTGTAACAATATACAAGTCTTGAAACAAATTTCCCAGCAGTAGTATCCTTGTATAGACTGAATAAAGGTTATTTTCTACAGGGAGGTATCTTATAAGAAAAAACAGTAGGGGAGACCATAGAAGTGAGAGGATCCTATGGAGCTTTTTGTATTTAACAACAATCAATGGGTTTTATGGAAAATCATTGAGCAAAATGTGAGCTGCAAGCTCACTACCCCATACTGATGTTATTTATAACCTTCGTCTTAAACTGCAGGAAAAGTACACTTCCGTTCTATGGGGAATACATTAAAAGTATAAAGAGCAGATAAAAAGACAGAGCATTTCATGGATCACCAAGAACAAAATCCACTTAAATGAGCTTAGAGTTGGTTTCTTGGCTTTCACTGATGGAGAAGGACTATAAGGCATTGCCCAAGAGGAAAAAGCTGTTACCTAAGTGTGTTTGTTACCTCATGCATAAACATGGGATTACTGTAACGCACATACATGCATATACGGTGTCTGCTTCTAACGACCTTAACTCTGTCAAGACTGCATTATCAATTCTTGTGATTAGGGCAGATTTCCACTTCTGCTTTGCATGCATGGGCTGCCTGTTTGCTTTTTGGTTTTGTTTTTTTTTTTTTTAGTAAACATTTGGGTGATAAAAGATGAATAGCTGTTGGTTTGCAAGATAGCAGGAAGGATAATTTTTTCCCTTCAGTGTTGCCTAGGTAAATCATCATTAACATCCCATATGTGAAGTGCTAACCACAGTAATACAGGTTTTAACTTAGCAGGGAGGCAGCCATGAAATATTTGTTCAGTAACCCTATCTGTAGAAAATGGCACAGTATGAAGAGGGTCAGCTGGTGCTTATCCAGCATCAGCAGGGTCTCCAGCTCGTCGACTGAATTAAGTCTCAATGCCAGGAACATTGTTTCTCACTTGTTTAAAAAAGAAGGAGGGGAAAAAAAAAGACTGCAAGGGGTACACGATAAGAATATTTTACCTGCTAGATACCAGCATTATTGGCTAATTTAAATCCCAGGTTAAATAATACATTCTAAAGACATGAGACTCAAACACAAGCATGCTCCTAGCAATAATCTGAATAACTCTGAAGAAGAAAGAGAGGAGAGGAGTTTATGATGTAACTCGTTACCTGCAGATGGCAGACTGGCTATAGGCTGGGCCTTCCGTGGCGCTTAGGGCTTGGCCAACTTGAGTCTGCGTCAGGCCAAGGGACAGGCGCCGGATTTTAAAAGCTTTGGCAAATTCTCGGATTTCTTCCAGATTCACCCCATCCACCTCTCCAGTGGCTGTTTGAGGATCTGTTGAAATATTTTTGTTATCACATCAGTTCTTTGCATCACGTGTGAGCGGGTTAGGCTTACACCAGCTTTCATTGTCAAGATGTTAATTTATTTTTTTAAAATCCTTTTTCCCTTTCTAATCTTCCCCAAACAGAAACAGGCTTGCCTTGGCAGGTGTGTTAGGAAGCACGTTCAGATTGCTAAAATGCTACCTAGGCTGCAGTGTTTCCAGGTGCTGGTGAAAGATTTTCAAAGACACTTTGTTGCTGAATTCCTGAAAATGGCCAACTTGCCTCTGAGTGAGGTGGTACCTGGGCTCCTCTCTGCCATTTGTGCCTTGCAAAATATCTCCCAGGTTGACAAGTTCCCTCCCGTTTCCTCTTCTTACTACCTACTGAAGGCTGATGTTAATATATTTATTTGCAATCTGCTGGGAGGGATAAATATACACACGAACTGCTTGGGTTTTTCATTTGAAATCAAGACTTTGTTTTATCTAAAATTAATGCCAAGTAAAGAGACTCACAAACCTTCCTTCCCTTTTTGCAAAATACCCAACCCAAACGTCCAAAATAACCCAGCAAATGAACAAGCTCAAAGAAAAATCTGCCTTTAAAAACTCCTTAATTTAAAAATAATCTTTTAAATACGCTTTTTTGAGAAGCAGCCTTTCAAGCTTTTCATTCTGCCTCCCATCAGGTTGATAATCAAGGAGCAGCAACATCAGCCATTAGGTTTTGGATGGTAATGCCGCAGTTTTTTGCTTTTACATTAGCCCCTCAGAAGATAATGTTATGATGCTGTGAGAATAAATCTGTCCTTCCTCCCCATAGCAGTTTACTGACACAGAAGCCTTTGTCCCTGAAAGGGCACATAATAAAGCATGTCTACCACAGGAAAGCTCCTTTGGTGCTGGATAACTCGGTCAATTTAGGACTTATCAAGGGAAATGACACAACAGCTGGAGAATGGAACTTTTTTTTTCCCCCCAAGCTACTGATCCCTGGCTAAATGAAAGCGTTTGCCAAGTCGGAGACAGCATGGGACTGGGATGGTGGAAGATTTCAAAGTGTTGTGCAATCCTGCGTGTAGTGAAGCCATTCTCCCAGTGAGACATCTCTATTGTTCTTCACCTCATTCCTCAGACTTCTTAGGTGAAAAGTTTGCAGCACAATAACCCATCAATTTTTGTAAACGCAAACGGTTGTCCAAGGATGGTGCTACACTACATTACTATTCTGAACCCTACATGAGAGTGGCTCCTGCTACTACTGCCATAGCTAAAGACTTGTCAGCATTATAGTAACAAAGCTTTCGTTTTCAGGGGTTTATAAACCTGATGTAAAATTCCCTTATGATGGAAAAGCCCTATAAAAAAATCTTTTTGTCTAATAACAGACAGAGGGAAGAGGTTTTTCTGCTATATAAATTTAGCCTGTACCCATTCATGGCTTGAGTGTAAGCAGCACACGTAGCAATAGTATTTTAAAAATATTCATGTATGCAACAAGGGACCACATGAACTCTGCATACAGGTAGACATGCACATGGGCTGAACCTAGTTCTGACAACGCTCTACACTCGGAATTGTCCCTCCTGTTGTCAGTTCTGTGCTTTGGCTCACCCGTGCACACACTCATTCAGTATAAAGCCAAGAGATGTATTATTTGGTTTTAAGTAGTCAGTGCTATGACAGAAGCCACTCAAGTTTGTAAAGTAATTGTCTTTAGAGGTGTGACATTTTCCTCCTTACCCCATACACAGCCTATCTAGCATACCAGGTCTGATTTTCAAAGACAGAGAATGGAGCTGGATGCTTATCTGCCCTTTGGGTCTCTGAAGAGCAACTGATAAATGTACAAAATATCGTAAATGATAATGGCCTCAAAGATTCCCTTGAGTAAAGTGCACTAAGATGGTAACCTTCCTCACCTCTTTCCTTCCTTCACTTTAAGGCCTCTGACAAAGGCTATTAGGGATGTGACAAAGGACAATTCAGGTGCTCCCAGAGAACTTACTCAAAGTAGCAAATGCTATGGCAACTGGCAACCTCCCCAACTCCTGTTAGGAATAAAAAGGGAGGTAAGAAAGCTAAAGGGTTATTTGCTTGCACATGATTATAGAAGAATTCTGCCAAATTCTGCTGGATCCTTCTGGTATGGCACTGTTCACAACGACAGTGAAAATCATGGAAAGTCCTTTCCTGCTTGGGGGGCTTGGAAGAAGGAACAATTAGTCTGAGCTCTCCTTGAGATGAGAGAAAAAAAAAAATCTGTAATGCTCTTCAGGAATGTGGGAGTACATTGTAATATACGTCAGAGTATCTGTTGAGAAAGAGGCTTCATTCCTACATAGTGTCTTTGGGAGGAGCAAAGCACTAACAGAGGTGGACCGAAACACTGAAGCCTTTTATCCCTGAACTCTAGGGAAAATAGCATTTGTATCAAATCAGAACCACTTCTACTTCAGGTGTGATTCAGAGCCCTTTGAAATCCATAGAAGTAGTCCCTTGATTTCTGTCAGCTCCATAAAACTCAAATAGTACTTGTGAATACCACTCTGTAGACATTATCATTATAACAGCACTGGTCTGGTTTGCTCTATTGCCATTAAAATGCCATCAATACATAATCCTGGACTCTGTGGACTAATACATATACATATATAAACATATACAAATATACAAGGGACTTGGTTTTAATAAGTTCTGAGCTCTCAGAACACGTGTTTAGTACACTTCACATTTTAGGAAGAATAGCTTATTGAGGACTGTAAATAAACCAGTTCTTTTTAAATTCAGTGGGTATCCTAGAGAAGGCAGCACAGGTGCTAACACACAAATAAAGACTATCAGTCTCATTGAGTGGTTGGGATTTACAGTAACAGCATTTAAAGGCTCCCAGTGTACGTTATGGCTTGATAAAACAATGGTGGTGTGTCTATGAAACTACTGGGTGTTGGAGAAAAGTGAGAGAGTTGTCTGGGACCATTCTAGGGCGTATGTGTACATATCTCCTAACAAAAAGGAAGCCATCTAAAATTCCCTCAGATGTCCTGGTGGACACTGAGAGTGGACAAGCAGAGTGGAAGAAATAAAATCCACAGGCTCTCCTTCTGCATTGAAACCCTTTTTTTCCTACTGAAGGGAATACTGCTCCCCCCCTTTTGAGCTCTTCTGAAAATCCCACATGAGTTTGTTGGTGAGTGCAAATTTGCTGTGATTTTAATAGTTAGGGGAA